AGCAAACTGAAGCTGTGAACAATTTAAATCTCTTCGCCATCCATCCTGATGGAATAGAATTATAAATAATATTATTATAGTTTCTTTTAGATCCTGGTAGTTAGAAGCATAAACTTGGATGACACATAAGCTTGACTCTGGCCAAATCTGGCACATGTTTTCTATGTTATCATAGGCTAATTACTAAATCTGTATAGACCTTCATTTGCTAGCCTGTAAAAATAGAATTATTAGATTATTAGTAGAAGCTATGAACTTTACTAGTTATCGAAATTAGATTTGTTACTGCATATAGCACATAGGAAATAGATGATACATAGTAACTGCATTATGTTATGTTTCTTAATCAGAAATCATTGCTGTCTCTCTCAGTCAGTTCTAATTTTCGTGCATAGCTTATCCTATAGGTGTGCATTATTCATTCAGTCATTTTTCTGTTGACTGACCTTCGGCAGACTGTTTTGCATAAAACATCTGCATGATTAACTTTGTGCATGTTACAAACATTTATCTGGAATAAATGCTGAGAAATGGATTATTGGGTCAAAATGTTATGAATGTTTGAAACTCTGAGTCTTCTGGCCAAATTGGTGTCTATGGAGCATTTACCTAGATTTTTTTTCTTTACTAATGGACATTTATAAATAATGTTTTATAAAAAAGTGACAAAAAGCTGTTTCATTTATATTTCTCCATAAAGTGCAGCCTGTCTTGAGAAAATACAGCAAAACTTCATATTTGTAGCATGAAATTGTAAAAATTAATACACTTCATAATCTGACTCCTGTCTTTCTAGAAAGAATAAATTTTGTGATTCTTATAAAGAAGTTTTAAGAAAAATTATATAATACCAGTTTTGTAAATATAAAACTAAGAAGAAATAAATAAGTGCATGTATATGTATATGTATGTATACATATGAAAAACTGTCATTTCAGAATTAATATTACTACTACAGTGCATTTTTTAATTGTATTATTTTTACGTGTACCGTCAAATCAGATCTGACTGATACAGGAGGAGATTGCCCCCTCCTTCTCCTGCAGAGCATCTGGTGGATTTGAACCTTGTACTTCTGGGATTGCAGTGCAGCGTCTTGCCACTAGGCCACCAGAGCTCCCTTACAGTGCATTTTCAATTTGTTTTGGGAGGGTTTTTTTTGTACAGCAGAGATAATTTCACACTTAATACTTGCATCTTGCACTTTTCACTTAAGCATACAATCACAAAGTCTAAACTAACATTTTTAATAAATGCATACTATCTCACCTTTATTGTACCAGTTTTGTTGTTGTTAGATATTGTTCAGCATGACTCATAGCAACCCTATGAACAACTGATCTGAACACTGCCCTCTCTGGTTCCATCCTTACAATCTCTGACACACTCAAGCCCATTGCCACAGTCACTGTGTCAACACACCTGGTTGAGGATCCTCCAATCGTTCACCGCCCCTCCACCTTCCCAAGCATGATGTCCCTCTCCAAAGAATAACCTATTTTTGTACACTTGGGCTCTTTCCAAGTCTTCTCTGTTACAAACAACATGATGATAAGCATATTAGTGCATAAACCTTTTCATATTATTTTAAATTCTATTTTTTGGAGCAGAGGGTGGCAACAGCTATCTTTGAGCATCTGGAAGGCATGTCATAAATGGTAATGCAGAAATAGTTTGGCAGGTCTTTGCCCCAAATAGTTTTTTCAACATTCCTTTAAAGTTTGTTGGGTGTTTTTTTTGTTTGTTTTGTTTTAACATTTCCTTATGAAGGTGTCATTCTATTTTAAATTTTATTATTTTGTATGTATGTGTACTGTCAAATCTGATATGACTGGTACAGGAGGAGATTGTCCCTCCTCCAGCAGAGCATCTGGTGGATTTGAACCACGTCCCTCCAGGATTGCAGTGCAGCTTCTTATCAGTAGGCCACCAGAGCTCCCCAATGTTTGTTGGTTTTGTTTCTTTTTTTTTTAAAAAAAAAAAGTTGAAATTATTATTTTTCCCAAATTCTGTATGTGTGCATCTTCAAATTCTTTATATATACAGCTTTGAAGATATGAAGAGCCACCTCTATCAGAGCACAAGTGCAATGTTAAGACTGTTACAATATTAATACATAACTTTTATATATTGAATATCTTTGTTCAGGTGCTTAAAGTACATTATCTCATTTCATCTACACCTCAGGCCTTGGTGATGAAAGGTCCAAACTGGCTATGAAATAGTGTATAACACATCTACTTTATTTAAAATGCGTGTTTTCACTAAAGCTTTAATGAAAGCTTACTGAGCCCCAGTTGGTTTCACTGCCAAACAAAGGAAAGAGTAGGGTGTTTGTCCATTCTACTTTGGCCAGGTCAGGGTATTCACTGAGTGTGAAAGGCCTGGGGCCATCTTCCATTATTTCAGCACTCCTTGTTTTATCTCCTGGGTGGGTCATAAAACCATGTCTTGGGGTAATTTTCTGTAACACACAGACATATTCCTGTAGGGTCAGAAAGGGCAGCCAAATGGAATCACTTCGGTTTCCACCTTGTAAGAAGTAGGCTCTTTTAAGGTACTGGTGTATCCCATTTTACAGCTGTAGAAAAGAAAATTTGGCTCAGAGCCACATAATTACATAATGAAGGAGCCAAGTTTCAGACTCCAAAGCCCTTGTTCTAAACATTACCCAGTACTACCACAACCATTGGCAATCTTGTTAACTAAGTTAACAAAACTCAGATTTATGCTATTGAACAGAATCAACTCATAGCTGATCACCTGTTGAGTTTCACGGGCTATAAATTGCATAGAAGAAATTGCCTGTCTTTGTCCCTCAGAGCTGTCAGAGAGGTGTGGCCTTTGAGTGATCAACAACTCAGGGTAGTTCTAGATGGACGCTGAAGGAATGGCTTTAAAGGGAGGTCTGTTAATTCGTGAGGTCTCCAGCCCTGGAAGTGCCCAAGCAGAGACTGTTGAGGCTATAGAAGTGGTGGAGGGAGGCCTGGATTGAGTTGTGAGTTGGGGGACTCCAGGGTCCCTCGCTGTTTGGTTTACCCCTGCTTACTGGGCTTGGGTGTATTTTTCTTGCTTCATGGCTTTGCCATCTGATGCCATTCAGTTTGCTTTTCTAGACACACTGACCTGGTCCCAGCCAGAGACACTTGGAACACCTCCATCTCCTCGACATGGTCATGTAATGGTGGCAGCAGGGACAAAGCTCTTCATCCATGGAGGCTTAGCAGGAGACAAATTCTATGATGATCTCCACTGCATTGATACAGGTAAGTAAGGTGAGGGCTTGCCAGCTTAAATGAAGTAGAATGTGCTCTGATGAACTATAGTCATGCTTGTGAATGTGGGTAACTTGACAAGCCTGTTAGTCTTCACTGGATTCTGTTCACACGGGGGCTGAATAATAACAATAATTGCAAACACTTCATGAGAACATATATAGCCAACCATTATCTTTAATCTTCCCAACTCTCTGTTCGTTCATTTATATCCATTATGCTTTGTATTCTCCAAGTAGATTTCTTTCGCTAAGGAACATGGATAACTACTGGGGTCTGTGGGTTGGTTTTGGTTTTTTTTTTTAAAAAAAATTGGTGAAATTAGTGACTAGAATTTCACGTTAAACATGGTTGAAAATACTGAGAAGAAAAGGCTAGGGAATACATAATAGTCATTGCTGAAGGGCTGATGTGATCTCTAGATCCTAGACTCATTCTTGATCAGTTCTTCAAACTGAGTTCTTTCAAGACACACTGCCTTTTTGGTTCTCTGGTCTGTTTCCAGCATTTAGCATCTGCTCCCGCTAAGATAGTAGTTAGGAGCATGTGTTAAATGAGCACAAAAATGAGCCAACAACTGCATTAGTTCTGCAGTCCTCCAGACTCCACATACTGGAACAATGGTCAGAAGGCCTAGGCTGGGTGGCCCAGGCTGGGTGGCCTAGGCCAGGTACTGTTGGCTGGAGTTCCTCTATTGGCTAGAATTTTGGGTGGACAGGATGCTCTTCTACCCAACTCTGAGATGCTGGCTTCTGCCTATCAGGTGGGAGTTGAAGTAGATTGCAAGTGTCTTGACTGAAGTATTCCTTGCTAGTAGTCACATGTAATGTTTTTATTTTTTTATTTTTATTATTTTTGTGTGAGTGTACCGTCAAATCAGATCTGATTGGTACAGGAGGAAACTGTCCCTCCTTCCCCGGCAGAGCATCTGGTGGATTCAAACCGTGCGCCTCTGGGATTGTAGTTGCAGGTCCTTGCCACTAGGCCACCAGAGCTCCCCTAAATGTAATGTTTTTAAAATGTTACTCTTTTTACTAAAAATATATATACTCAGCAAAGTATACTCCACAGAGTTGTATTTTTAATAGAAAGTCCAGTTCTTTTATGCTTCAGACACTATCTCTATTTTTCCTGTCTACCCAAAGAGTTTTCTAAGCCTAAATTCTGCTGATATTCTGCATCATGTAAACACTTTGAAAAGATGCAAATTTTCCTGCAAAAATAGGTTGGGAGTAATGGTTAATGCAGTTTATTTGCAGTAAAGAGAATATAGGCTTTGTCAGACTTCGGTACCGTTCTAGTTCTGCCACTTTCTACCTGTGGGATCTTAGGACAAGTCTCCTTCCTCCCAATTCTCAATTTCCTCATTTGTAAAAGAATAAAAGCAGGTAGAGAGGAATGATAGCAGAGTTCTTATGAGAAGTAGGGTAATGACTATTGTATAGCCAGCCTCCACAGAGTACTGCTAAGGAAGCTTTGTTGTTGTTAGGTGCCATCAACTACACTCATAACAGCCCTGTAAACAACAGGTCTGAATGTTGCCCTGTCTTGCACTATCCTGATGATCTCTCCATCATGTTCAAGGACATTTTGTAATCACAGTCAGTCTATCTCACTGACAGTTTTCCTTCACTGACCTAATCTTCTCAGCATATCTTTTTCCAAGGACTAGCCCCTCCTGACAATATGCCAAATGTGTGTATAACTTTCACCATCCTTGCCTTTAAGGACACTTTAGTGTTTAAAACAAATGTGTGCACATGCACACATTTAAACACATAGAATCACATCACCTACTTATGGGTACTTACTTGTAACTGTGATTACTGGTGATGGGGTGATGGTTACTCAAGATAGTGTCACATTTTTATGTACTCCATCAGAATCAGTTGAGTGGCTGCTTAGAAACACAGGTTGCTTAGAATCCTCTTCCTTTGATTTTCAAGTTAAGATTTTAAGCTCCCCCTTATAATCTCAGGAGAGGGTAGCGTTCAGACCTACTGTACATAGGGTCACTATGGGTCAGAGGCGACTTGACGACACCTAACATGTAATTCTTATGCACATTAAACCTTGCTGCTCTACCTCCTGAAGATTTTAGTGAATGACCTTCAGTGATTATAAACTGCAGGAGTCTGACAGAGAGCTTCTAAACCACAGTTTAGCACAACTTATGCCAAAACACTTTCTTTGACAGGTGATATGAAATGGCAGCAGCTGAGTCCCACTGGGGCTGCTCCCACAGGCTGTGCTGCTCACTCAGCTGTGGCTGTGGGGAAACATGTGTATATCTTTGGAGGAATGGCTTCCACAGGAGCACTGGACACAATGTACCAATATCACACAGGTGAGCAAGTGTCATCCTTTGTTTCTGGGATCTTTAAACAAATGTAACCATTCAGAAGTAACAGGTCGGCGAGCTCTGGTGGCCTAGTGGCAAGAAGCTGCAACTACAGTCTCAGAGGTGCATGGTTCAAATCCACCAGATGCTCTGCTGGAGAAGGAGGAACAATCTCCTCCTGTACAAGTCAGATCTGATTTGACGGTGCACACAAAAAATAATGAATTAAAAAAAAAAAAGTAGTAACAGGTCCTTGTACAACTGAATCTAAAAGAATCATCAAATGTGTAAGAAGCCTTTCTACGAAGATGGCGCCGAAAGCCAAGAAGGAAGTCCCTGCCCCTCCCAAAACTGAAGCCAAAGCAAAGGCATTGAAGGCCAAGAAGGCAGTCCTGTGAAGGGCGTCCACAGCCAAAAAAAAAAGATCCACACGTCATCACCCACATTCCGGCGGCCTAAGACGCTGAGACTCCGACGGCAGCCCAAATACCCCCGGAAGAGCGCTCCCAGGAGAAACAAGCTTGACCACTATGCCATCATCAAATTTCCCCTGACCACTGAGTCAGCTATGAAGAAGATAGAAGATAACAACACACTTGTGTTCATTGTGGATGTCAAAGCCAATAAGCACCAAATTGAACAAGCTGTAAAGAAGCTCTATGACATTGATGTGGCTAAGGTCAACACTTTGATTAGGCCTGATGGAGAGAAGAAGGCCTATGTTAGACTTGCTCCTGATTATGATGCTTTGGATGTTGCCAACAAAATTGGGATCATCTAAACTGAGTCCAGCAGGCTAATTCTAAATGTAATAAATTTTTCTCACCATAAAAAAAAAAAAGTGTAAGAAATGACATTCTCAAAGCCACAATCCTGCCATCTTTTTTGTCTCCTGATTAAGGATCAGCTAATGCAGTAAATATTTACTAAACATTTCTTAATGTGTAACCTTTGTGTTTTTCTCTCCCCCTATAGAAAAGCAACATTGGACCTTGCTTACATTTGATACATTTTTACCCTCTGGAAGATTGGACCATTCTATGTGTATCATTCCATGGCCAGTGACATCTACTGAGAAAGAGTCAAATCCTGTTTCTCTAAATTGTGAAGCTGAGGAAGAGGATTTCACTGATAAAGGAGAGATAGACAGTGGTGACAACTCACAAGAAAGTCAGACTGACATACTACTCTGTTTCGTGTTTGGAGGCATGAATACAGAAGGAGAAATCTATGATGACTGTATTGTTACTGTAGTTGACTAATAAAATCCATATGACTTTTAAGCATCCAGCACTTTCAGAAGTATCTATTTTGTTAGGTGAAGAGATGAAGAGCCATTCAGGGCGTGGGGGCGTATACCTTCATTACCAGCAATAGAACCCAAGTGTGATTCTTTATGAATGCTACCATCACCAAAAGGTTATAGAATCTTAACTGATAGAAACAAAGTAAGCTAGAGTGGACATTCACAGGTTATAGTCTTTTTTTTTAAATACTCTAGAGATGCAGAGTCCTTTCCTAACTACCCCACTGCCCATGGCTCTGCAGGTCAATTTTAGTATTAAGCTTTGCCTAAAAGATCTGATGTTCTTGCCCTTGAGTTTTGGTCATCCTGAAACCCACTGCTCCTGGCAGCCACAATGGAGGGGACAACACCTAGGGGTTGCAGAGGGGGTAGTGTTTGTGTTACCCTGGGCCACATGAGGCAGTAACAGTGCAAAAAAAAAAAAGATGAACCCAATGATCTAAGCTCCAGCCCTACCTATATGCTTTGGGGTCAAGATAAATCTCAAGGTTAAGACAAATTTATTGTTGGTTCCAGTTCTATCTTTACCTACCTTCCAACTTATTTGATCTGTAAAATAGTGTGTATCTCAGGTAACACTTTTCTGTTTCTCACAGCCTGACATTGGTCATGCCCCTCCTCTGCCATCTTTTCTCTATTAAAACAATCCAAGTAATCCTAAACTAAAATTGTAATGAGGTTTTTAATATAGCTTCAAGATAGGTATTTCCACTTCGGTACTAATGAAACTTGAGGAATAAAGACTGACCTATTCTCATTGTGGAAAACAAAGCTCAATGAGATCGATTAATTTCAAATGGACTTAAGCTCAGCAAAGATGGTGAGGCTGGCACACTATTGAGGATGGACGGTTTCCTTCAGTCTGAGTAGGGAATATGGTACCTACCAACAGTGTAAAAGTCGCATCAGCGATGTCTCTTCTGCAGTAAGAAATTCCCAGTCTTTAACAAAATTGTTGAGGCACTGTGAAATGGTTCTTGCCAAAAGGATATGAACGGATCTTCCCCCACCTCCCTTAGATTGAGTAGATGCAAAATTGATGACATTTTGGTTAAGTGCCCATTACTTAAGGGATTTTTTTGTTTGTTTTTTGTGTACTGGCACAGGAGAAACTGCCTCTCCTTATCCAGTGGAACATCTGCTGGATTTATACTGAGCACCTTTGGGATTGCAGCACAGCTTCTTGTCACTAGGCCACCAAAGCTCCCTTTCTATCACTTAAGTTTATTATACTATCAGGACTCCTTTACTTTTGATTCTAAAACCAAACCCAATGTTGAATCAGTTCCAACTTACAGTGATACTTATAAGGCCATCTCTCCCACCAAGCACCTGGTAGACTTGAACCACTGACCTGTTAGCAGCCCAACACATTGTGTACTCTGTCAGGGATCTTTAGATTAAAACAGGTAAATTATTTGAAATACTGAATAGAAATATTCTCTCCAAATGTCCTAAACCATCTGCCTCCTTCATTCACACATACATACACACAAAAACCCCTATGCCTATCTCCTTACCATTTTTTAGACTTTAAAAAATAAATGACCCAATTAGAAGCGTATCACAAAGATTAGACCAGTGTAAATAACAAACATTTATTGGTGTCACTTATGGTAGAAAAAAGTTCCTACACGAGATGCACATGAATGACCCAACTGTTAAATAGAACATTTCCAAGGTGAGCACACTCCCAACCCAGTTGTTTTACCCAGTGCTTTAAGATGGCCAATTCCTCCCCTCCCCCCCAACCCTAAGACATGTAGCAACTGCTAATGAAAAGCAGTAAACAGCCATTTAGGCTATAGCATTTTCAACTCCACTCAAAGGTGAAGACTCCAATTACATTAGAGACTTAAGTTCTCTCAATTTTCTCTTTAACGAAAGTTCCTGAGTCCAGTATTTACAATATGACAGCACAAGACAGCATTGTCTACAATTCATCTTTTTCTGTTGTTTCATCTTCACCAGTTGGGGGAGGGCCTGCACTTCCATAGAGTTTGCTGATAATTGGCTGAACAATTTCTTCTAATTCCTTCTTTTTGGCTTTGAAGTCTTCGATGTCAGCATCCTGGTGACTTTCCAGCCATTCAATCTTTTCCTCTACAGCTTTTTCCATGGTTCCCTTATCTTCAGAGGAAAGTTTACCCCCAAGCTTTTCTTTATCTCCACTCTGATTCTTCAGAGAATATGCATAACTTTCTAATTCATTTCTAGTATCAATTCGTTCCTTGAGCTTTTTGTCTTCCTCAGCAAACTTCTCAGCATCATTAACCATCCTTTCAATTTCTTCAGGTGTTAGACGATTTTGGTCATTGGTAATTGTGATCTTATTTTTGTTACCTGTACCCTTGTCTTCAGCTGTGACTCGAAGAATGCCATTCACATCTATCTCAAAGGTGACTTCAATCTGTGGGACCCCTCGAGGAGCAGGTGGAATTCCAGTCAGATCAAAGGTACCCAAAAGGTGATTGTCTTTTGTCAGGGGTCTTTCACCTAGGATTTAGAAAAAGAAAAAATTATCAGTGACAAATATTAGATCTGAATCACTATTGTCTGTAGTAGCAAAAACACTATCAAGCTAGAAAGTTTGCTGCTAGTCTAGAAGCAGCAACAGCAACTGGGACTTAAATGGAATTTCATGTACTTCAAAGCATTCTTTTATATTCTGAGTCAATTCAAAAGTTATTTTCACCAAGGAAGATTTTGATGCTGACTACAAAATCTCACTCACTGCTCCTAGGCAAAATAAAGGCCTTCATTTAAAAAATTTCTCTGACCATTACAGTGAATTATATTAAAGATATCATATTCTCCAAAGCAATTATAAGCAATTACCTTCATAGACCTTGATTGTAACTGTTGGTTGATTATCAGAAGCTGTAGAAAAGATTTGAGACTTCTTGGTGGGCACCACAGTGTTTCTGGGAATCAGCTTGGTCATGACACCTCCCACAGTTTCAATACCAAGTGTAAGTGGACATACATCAAGTAGCACTAGATCACCTGCAAAGACAAGTTTACCAAAATAAGGAAACTTCAAGGAGTAATCGATGTAATTGTAAAGTTCATCTCTTTGCCACTCAATTATGTTAAGAAGCAATGCATTATGCATAAATTGCCAAGGCTTCTCAAAACTGTAAAAGGAAAAAACAACAAAAACTGTCAAAGGTTCTCGGACTTTGGGAAAGTTGCTCATATATTATTGCTATGGAGGAAATATGGAAGATGTTGTATCACTGACTTACCAGTATCTTGATCACCAGAGAGCACTCCAGCCTGGACAGCAGCACCATATGCTACAGCCTCATCTGGGTTTATGCCACGGGATGGCTCCTTGCCATTGAAGAACTCTTTAACCAATTGTTGAATCTTTGGGATTCTAGTAGAACCACCAACAAGAACAATTTCATCAATATCGGACTTCTTCAAATCAGAATCCTCCAACACTTTCTGAACAGGCTTCATGGTAGAACGGAAGAGATCCTAGAGAGATAGATATGATTATAAGACCTATGATACTCTGATGCACTGCACTACACTCAGGATATCACTAAATCTCGTTAGCAAAGCAAAAAAACATACCATGTTTAGTTCTTCAAATTTGGCCCGAGTCAGGGTTTCAGAGAAGTCTTCTCCTTCATAGAAGGACTCAATCTCAATTCTTGCTTGATGCTGAGAAGACAGGGCCCGTTTTGCCTTTTCTACCTCACGCCTGAGTTTCTGCACAGCTCTGTTGTCTTTTCTCACATCTTTGCCAGTCTTCTTTTTATACAGCTTGATGAAATGTTCCATGACACGCTGATCAAAGTCTTCTCCACCCAGATGAGTATCCCCATTAGTGGCCACGACTTCAAAGACACCATTGTCAATGGTGAGAAGAGACACATCGAAGGTTCCACCACCGAGGTCAAACACAAGGATGTTCTTCTCACCCTCCCTCTTATCCAGGCCATAAGCAATAGCAGCTGCTGTACTGTTAGGTGGGTGAAAGGAGGAAAATATGCTTAATCAAATTTATGTTCTATCTGGGGAAAATGCCATTCCTAAGCTCTGGTGGCCTAGTGGTAAGCAGCTGCCCTACCAACTCAACAGCATGTGCTTCAAATCCACTTGCTGTTATGTGGGGGAAAAGATGGGTAAGGTTTTCTTCTCAAAACTCACTGGAGGGTCAGCTATGGGTGGGATCTGACTCAATGATACACAAGAGTTTAATACTTACGGTTCATTTATGATCCTCATTACATTCAGTCCAGCAATAGTTCCGGCATCTTTGGTTGCTTGGCGCTGGGCATCATTGAAATAGGCTGGTACAGTAACAACTGCATGAGTTACCTAAGAGAACAGAAAAAGATTACGTATATTGTCATATAATCATTTAACCTTTGTTTAAATCAAAACCAGTCTCTGAGCCAATTTTTAAAATGAGTATAAAACCCATCTCAGGAATAAACAAAACGTGTAATTGCAAGCACTAAATGAAAACCGCCTCGCATACAGTAAAGCATTCAATTCAACTTGCCTTCATTCACAAAGTATTAAAATCATGGCAGCATCTACGCAGGGCAGTATAGCGAAAGGGGGGTGTACAGGGAAACCCAACTTTGTTCTAGAAATACCTTCTTTCCCAAATAAGCTTCAGCAGTTTCCTTCATCTTGGTCAAAACCATGGCAGAAATTTCTTCAGGAGCAAATGTTTTTGTTTGCCCACCTCCAATATCAACTTGAATATATGGTTTAGTTTTCTTTTCAACCACCTATTTTAAAAAACAAGGTTTCAGATTCAGAAACAAAGACACTGTGAAAACTAAAAGGAGGATTATCAATCACTGCCCTTCAATAATTTCTTTTGCAATATAAATAAAACTTTAAAGCTCTGCTGGGACAAAATTCTTTCAAAGATTTATAGCCTGTTTTCTTGTCCCCAAAACTTGGGTTTCCTTTTTTCTTCTTCTT